GCAGGTAGTTGATGCGTGTGGCATTGACTCCACAACCGGAGGCGGTCAGCTGTGGAGTCTCGCTGATGTCGAGGCCCAGTGCCAAGTCCGTTTCCTCCAGTTTCAGCTCATGCAAGCTGGGCAGATTGACCAGTCGCCTTTGACGACGACTCTCTCTATCGAGTTGGTTCATCAACTTGAACTGATACGTCGTCGCGTACAGCGTCTGCAGTCTTGGCAGATTGACCAGACTTATGCTGCCGTCCATGTCCAGAGCGTCCACGCGTTCCAATCGTGGGGTTATCCAAAGTTTCCAGTAGTGCTGTATCATTGCGGCCAGCCTAATGTCGAATTTGCCCTTGTTTACCTTGAGCTCATCTTCCTCTTCGTCCCCCTCCTCTTCCTCCTCCTCATTTTCTTCGCTGTCGTATCCCGCCTCCTCTTCACGTGCTGGTATCTGCGGTATTCTTTTTCCCGACTTGGCCGAGCCTTGTTTGCCCCAGTCGCCTCGAAGCCTCAGTCTTCCGGGCTGAGGACAGTCGAGCGCCAGGTACGTGAGTTGAGGCAGGCTGACACGCGGCCAGAGGCGTGAACAGCACAATCCGCGCACCGACAACGAGCGTAGCCATGACAACTGCTGCCGAACCGTTGGTGTTGGTCGCTCCAGTCGGTCGAGATGAATGGAACCGGCCAGAAGACCGTGATATTTGCCCTCTGGTATCACGTATGAGTTGAGCACTAAACGCGTGAGTGCATGGCCTCTTCTCGAGGTGCCTTCAGTCGTCCGATTGACGTCGGTCAATTGGTTGTCGGCCGGAAGTCGAGTGAACGGACAGACATGACCGAAGAACTGGAAAACCTCGAGGTCTGGCCATCTCGACGTCATCAGATCGGGTGTCATCGTCGCCTGACTACCGCAGTTCTTCCGCCTCGCGTACACCGTCAGCTGCCTCAGGTCGGACTGGTTGTAGAGATGACTGACAGCCGCCTGTAAACAGGCGACATGACAAACGGCTCTCTGGTTGGACAATTGTAGACAATACTCGTCTCGGTCTTGTCGAGCCACAGTTGCCATGTCACTGTTGCGAACGCGGCGGCCTCGGTTGGCAGGAGGGCCGGTACGAGTGTTCACATCGGCTTGGGTGTTGTCGAGGCTGGAGAAGAGAAGTCCGAGGAGGAGGAGGAGGAGGAGGATTGTAAATGGGTTGCCGAGCAGATGGGACGATTTTAGCATTCTGTGTAGGGCAGTCAACCGCGTAGTCGTCGGCTAGTCGAGATGCCTCGGCATGACAGACGATGGACGATCGAGTGGGGCTAGCTTTTGGCCAGTCTGTGGGCGAGTTCACGGGATTCAGAGACGCGAAATGGGTTGACTGAGACACCTCGACCAACTGGGCCTTGTTGGTCGCGAGTCTGAGGGTTTGGGCTTTGGCCGACCTCGAGTCGGCCTGAGCGCCGAGTCTGCTCTCTCAGCCGACCTCGTGAGCGGCTGTTGTGGTGGACATGTTGCAGAGGCAGGCCGAGGGCAGAGCAGCTCCATGCACCGCGAGAAGAGGGCACAACAACGTCGACTGTAGTCGGATTTCACGACCGGGAGGGTAAGGATGAGCAGACTGCGGCGTGGTCGCCGGTCTGAATGTGACCACGGGTGAGGTGGTTCCGCTGACCGCCTCCTTTTATAGCCTCGAGTACCATCTTTGCTGGCTCTCCTATGCGCGTATTGATGCAGCTTTGCGCGTGTGCACGTCTATTTTATGTGTTGTTATACGCCCGACGTGTGACCCGTGTGTCCATCCAACTCTTTCTGTATACTTTCCGTCCAGTTGCTGGAACCTGGTGGGGCCAGCAAGGTACCATTGGCAGGGTTTTTGTAATCTCTGGCCTTGCATTCATGGCACACTCGGCAGCCAGTGTAATTGTAAGACGTGTCTCTCTTAGTGTAGGTTGCTTCGATGTAGCCATGACTGCGTCTTCCTTCTTTGTTA